AGAGAAAGAGAGTGAGAGAGAGAAAGAGAGTGAGAGAGAGAAAGAGTGAGAGAGAGAAAGAGTGAGAGAGAGAGAGACGGAGAAGTTGCATCATTTAATGAAATAAAATTTTACCTTTCATGGAATTGAATTCTTGTGTAGTCTGTTGCGATTCTAGACACTGCTTCTTTATATTTTCGATGTCATTTCTGAGAGAGATTATTATCTCATCTGACGTCATTGCACCATACATCGGAACAGCGGGAGTTTCTGGGCCTGCCACACTGCTTCTTTCTGCTCCGTCCTCAGGCCTAAATAAGGCAGATAAAACACACCGACTGTCACTTCTTTCTTGTTTGAACTTCTGAGCTTATTTAAAGTATTTAAAGTCGTTTTTATTGTTTGTTTTTGTTTACATCGATTGATTGACGGTACAAATTCATAAGTATCCCTTATGATACAAGTATGTTGAAATATTCTTATTTCTTATGCAAGTGCAATGAAATATAGTTCAGTAGTGCGTTTCCCCCTCCAATTTAGATCGTTTTAAACGGGCACTTAAAAGCGTGCGTTTTTAATTATTTAAAGTAACCAAAGTCTAATCCTCACACACACGACTCACGGCTTCAAACGACAGCTTTCCTAGTTAAACATGTCACGCGTCGCCACTGAGCGATACTCGTGGCTAACCACAGTTGTTTGTAACACAAAAGAGCAGTCGGAAGCGTCTGTGAAGAGTGAATGCAAAGTTATGTCATCACAACATGAAGATCACGATTTACCCTATGAATTCAAACTCCGTATGTTTAAAATGGTGTATCTCATAACCTTGTATCTATTCTATTAAAAATCTTTAGAAAGACTGTTCTCACAAAAATTTTATTATGTTATTCGGTTAGCCATTTATGATCTATTTAAATGTGCATCCTTCCTATTATTCCACGGCCCCTTTTAGGACTTTTTGCCATTGTATGAATATCACACGGGTCTGCGTTTGAGTTCATGCACTAGTCACATGAGTTCATGCACTAGTGTTCTAATAAATGCACAGGGACAACTACATTCTACCCGTTAAAATGCGAAAAAAGCGATGACACGTCCGTATCACTTTGGCTCCTGCAGTGTTAAGGGTAAAACTCCTGATATATCTCACGCTATTAAATAATAAATATAAATTACTAGGCTGCATTATTCCATTTTAATTGTATTCCGTGTCCATTGAATGTATCAGACGGGTTACTTCTTAGGATATACCCGGTCGGGTATTTCCTAGTACACACACACCATCAAAGGCTTATAAAATGTGACTTGAGAAGACAAACATGTACATAACTAATTATTGTTTTGATGAACTCTTTAAATATACCAAGTACATGAGATTACCAGTTGCTTGTCACATTAACTATCAGCCTACGATGACAACCCAAACCAGTCTATCAAATATGACGTTTCTGATCATGATAATTATATACCGTCTCTGAGCGGTCTGGCCTGAGAGTTTCTTTTCAATGTTGGCTAGGCGATGCTCCATATCCCATACTCTTCTCTCCAATTTGACAAGTTGCTCTTTCAGTTCTTCACAGCATTCTATTGAAGGCTTGCCCTCAGTATCCTTTTCTTCAAGTGTAGCCCAAATGTATTTGACCTTAAAAATGAAAGAGTATGATTAATAAAGAGATGTTAACAAATTAATATCAATTATAAATAATTATTTTATTTTTACAACAACTATAAAACATTATCGATTTTTTAGTAGATAAAAGTATCAACAATAAACTAAAATTTTCTCAACAAATATTAATATTTTACAATATATTTCAATATTGAATACAAGGGTATTAACTGAAACGTCAAGGACAAGTTTGTCGAAAGCGCGCGACCGGTAAAGGTGGTTCAGGGCATCAACCGATGTCAATGATGTGCCTCTGTCCGGAGTTCAAGTCTCGACGGGGGCAGGCTTTTCGACACTAGCCACTGGGTCGAGTTCTGTCTGATCGATCAGTAGATTTCCGTGGTTTCTCCGATCAATACAAAGCGAATGCCGGAGCAGAACCCTACTAAATGAGCCACGGACCGCGCGCGATCTTTCCTCCCTAATTTTCGTCCTATCCTCATCCCTGACACACACACTTACGTGCACTACACTACCATGCAAGTCGAGAGACCAACGGTGAGCTTAGCGCTTGTCCCAGATGAGACGGTGCCCCGCTAGTGGGATGTATCTGGTTAGGGAAAACCCCGGTAGCCGACGGTAGGTGTCGGTGCCGGATCTCACCATCCAGCGGGGCAAGATCACCGCCATTACCCGAGCAAACTTTCACTACACTTACAGAACTAATGAACTTTGTAGTACTTCACGCGCCCGGAATTAATAATAATAATAATAATAATAATAATAATAATAATAATAATAATAATAATAATAATAATAATTGCTCAATCAACCGAATGGGTGGAATTTATGCTCATAACAATCCATCTCCAAAAAACCGTATTCCGCTCAAGAATTTGCAGAGCAACGGGCGAACGTTGGGCCCAGAGCGAGACTCACGTGGTCCTCGAGGAAGTCGATGCGCAGCAGCGTCTCGCGGCTGGGCGTGTCGTCGTCGGCGTGGATCATGCCGCCGCCCACCAGCTGGATCTGGCGCAGCCCTCCCACGCTCGCGTCGTCGCCCGGCGCGGGCTCCCCGGGCCGACCGCCGCCTGCTTCGTCGAGCGCCTGCAGACAGGGGGGGGGGGCGTTTATTTTACTTCTCCCCTTCCCCAATACGCCACATACAGATTTTACTGCTTTCGTCGAAGATAAATCACATCAACTCGAATCGATTATTATATTTTATGTAATTTTAGTATTATTACATTATTCATTATATCATTTATTATTAAGTATATTCACGCTAAGTTTCTCTCCTTCGTTTATTGTATTATTTTGTACTTATATTGTGATTTTATTTTTAAGAATTTACATTTTTGTAATAACTTTATTTCTAAGTTTTTATTTTATTAATGAGGTCACAATGAGGAGACCCTAAGGTGACAAAAGTCATGGGATACCCACTAATATCGTGTCGGGCCTCCTTTTGCCCGGCGAAGGTCAGTAATTCGAAGTGTCAAGGTCTCAACAATTCGTTGAAGTCCCCTGCAGAAATATTTTGTCATGCTGCCTCTACAGGCATGCATAATTGCGGAATTGTGGCCAGTGTAGGATTTTGGGCACGAACCCACCTCTCGATTATGTCCCAAAAATAATCGATGGGATTCACGTCGGGCATCTGGGTCGCTAAATCATTTGCTCAAATTGTCCGAAATTTTCTTCAAATCAATCGCCAACAATTGTGGCCCGGTGACGTGGTGCATTGAGATCCATAAAAATTCCATGAATGTTTTGGAACATGAAGCCCGTGAAAGTCTGCAAATGGTCTCCAAATAGCTGAACAGAAACATTCAAGTCAATAATCGATTCAGTTGAAGCTGTTCAAAGCATCCAGCCATCAAATAGCACGCAGCGTTATGGAGCCACCATCAGGTTGCACTGTGCAACCATCAGGTTGCACAGTGGCATGTTGTCATCTTGGGTCCATGGTTTCTTGGGGTCTGTACCAAACTCGAACCCTATTATTAACTCAAATCGGAACTCGTCTGACCAAACCACGGTTTTCCAGTTGTTTAGCGCCCAATCGATATGGTCAGGAGCGCAGAAGAGGCTCTCCAGATAATGTCGTGATGTTAACAATGGCACTCGAGTCTTCTCCTACTATAGCCTTTTAAAGCTAAATTTCGCCGCACTGTCATTACGGATACGTTAGTCAAACGTCCCACATATTCGGTTATTTCACGCAGTGTTGCTTGTCTGTTAGCACTGGTCACTGTATGCAAACGTCGTTGCTTTCGTTCGTGAATGACGTCGGCTACTGCTTTCTCCCGCCCTTGAGCAAGTCATTTTTTATAAAAACCATTGATTCGTCAATCAAGAGGTACGCTAATAGTAGAATTACTATCTTACGAGAGGCTTACAAGAATCACATGGGAAGGATTTGCTTATTATTTGTACAAGTCTTTTCTGTAATGTAAAAGTTTGGGAGCAAAAATTCCTCTGAATATTGTAACCTATCTCCGGAGAGAAATACACAAAGAGCAGTATGAAGGGTGAATGAATGTGAAAGAATTCTGAAGGCGTAGCAAAATGAACTAAATTTTCTGTTCTCAATTCATATAGACACTCCATTTGAGGTTTGACTCAATTGAGATACCCAAAAAATTTAATTCTTTAAAATCAGTCAATTGCACGTCGTTCACGGTGAATGGAGCGCACAATTGTTTGTTTGAAATGGAAAACTGCGTTAAAACTGTTTTCCCTGAGTTTACCATTAAATTTTTATTATGAAATCAATTTGAAATATCCTATTTTGTGCTAGTTTCACTTGCTGCGTTGCTAATTATATTCGTATCATCTACATATAAATGTTTCATTCTGAATTTACGAATAGTAGGTGCCTAAAATGAAATACAATCTCTAGTTCCTAAATTGCAAACAGAATTTACACAAAAATTTATATATCCAGATTGAGCTAACTGATGTTGCGTCAGGTTGAATTTGTAACGAATAGTTTGATTTATGAGGGGGTAGTTTATATGCAGTCACATTTTCAAAAATGAGTCGATTTTTTTCTTAATATTTTTCCCTTGACAAAAAAACGTTAAAAAATTGTGCAAATGAATTCGAAATTGCAAATTTAAATTTCCCTCGTTCGTTTGACGCGCTGCCAGTTCTCAATACAGCGGTTTCAAATTCTTCTAATTGTCGGCAGTTGTGATGATCGTACGATGTAGATATTCTTATGAAAGTAAATACATTTAAGGAAAGTAATAGATTTCACGTATAACATATTTCACAACTAACATATACACTACATTTAAACAGACTTCGTCGCTGATTTTGATACTAATAACTTGGAAGCTCACTTTGTTGTTATTAAGGCAAGCGTTTGTGAAATTATTCTTGCATTTCTATATAATGTGCTTCACATACTGTAAGAGTATCCGTTAAATTTATTCATTTCTTGTATCCATTTGTAAAATGAAGAAGTGCCTCTAGTTCTTGTCTAACGAAGTAAATGCAGATATGCGCCACAGGCGTTTCGTTTGATTGGACCCATTGAATTTTCAAGTGAGGTTTCCTTGAGGCAGAAATTGCAATATTACAATATTCCGTAACAGTTTTCAAAAACGTAATAAAGTATGGTTCTGTTGAATTCTAGTTTCTGTGTCCGCGGAATAAAGGATTTCCCGGCTTCATACCTGATTTGTTCGACCGCCCCTTAATTGTATTCAGTTCGCAACGGGGCGCAAATGATTGCAATGGTGCGGTACCTGTCCGGGGACGGCCTCTCTGGGCGGGCGGCCGGAGCGCGAGGGCGCGGGCGCGGGCGAGGGCCCGGCCGGGGGCGCGGGGGCGGCGCCGGGCCGGGCAGCGGGCACGCGGCGGCGCTCGGCGCTGGGCACCGGGGCCGCCTCTCCCGGTCGGCCCCCGGGCGCCGCGCCCGCCGGGATTTCCGCGCGCGCTCGGCCCGCTGCGCGCTTGGGGCCTGCGCACACACCCCACCAACACCACGCAATTGCACCAAATAACCTCCGCAATGAAACACTTTGAAACGAAAAATATTCGCCGAATTGCGGCCAACATGAGCGGTCCCTGAAGATTCAATTGTCTGTAAACTTAAATTCAATTAATTCAAAACCAATCATCGTCCTCTGAGTTACTCGAAGCCATATATTATCTTTCTTTTCTCATAGTTTTAATTCTGTATTCCAGGCGCTTATTTTTCTCCTATTCATACATACAAATGAGAGAGAATAACGTCTTCTATTTCTTTTTTTATTCATAATATTTGAGAGAATACTATTTATATCTCGGTTCCCAATGCAAATAATTTCCCCCAAAATCCCCAAACATTTCTAGTCAATTTATGTTCTCCATGCCTTCCCCACAACGCAAATAATCCCCATGTGGGGGACAAAATTCACCAATCCGGCCACCTTGCGACCCCACTCTCAATCTCTGGATGTGTGCATAGTAAATTAAAGTGTGAACGCATCACTTCTACGAGTCATCGCCAACTTACGCCTGAAACAGCTTCAAAACGAATAATAAACCAAGATCAACGGCAGATAAACCACGAATTTCCATATCTTAAAACTACGGCATTTTTTTTTTGGCTTTAGACACAATTTATCATTACTTTAATTTATCATTTAATACAGATGTATTTTAATTGTCATCAGAGGCGCACCTACGGGGTGGAATGTGTGTGTATGTGTGGAGGAGCTCTTTTGTCCCCATTAGCTGAATATACTTATTCACTAAAATATCTTTTTTTTCCTTAATTTTCTGCGTAACGAAATTCATTCAATATTTCAGCCAAATGCCTTATATCAAGAAATCAGGAAATAAAATAAATTTCAAAGTATACTTTTATGAAAAGTTATGTAATGTGTATATAATAAATAACACTCCTGGTATATAAATAACTATTCTGTAGAACCCCTCATGTCCCATTTCCTTACGCTCTCCGGAATTCTCAACTATTAAACGTCGATTCTTGCACATTTGTAGTTCTTCTATATAAAGTATTACAATATGTATAAATATATTCTATTCATTATAAAAATTATATTATATTATAGCATGTACAAAACCTGTAGAAAGCAAAACTTGTTAAAGCAACAAGACGCGAATTTCCTCGTCCGGTGCACGAAAATTGCATTCATCTTCCGATTAGTACGTTTGTCAAATTGTGAAGACAAAAAATGTCTTCAAAATTATGTCTACAAAATTACGAATGAACAGGTTTCTAAGACAAACTGTTCTCATTTTGTTCTTGAAACAAAATTTTTTAGATAAACTGGCTTCCAATTTTTGACAACTTTAGGGCAGATGAAGGTATTAAATTAACGGATTGAGATTAAACGTTGAGAATAATTGACTTTCCAGGGACTTTGAGAATCCAATTGACTTTTTAGGAATTATCGTAGGTGAAAGTTTTCAAATGCATTTCATTGCCACCAAACTGCTACATACACATCCCCTCGTCACACAGACACACTCACGCGGAAAATTTAAGTTGCGTCACTCAACAAGCTTTACGTACATCAGCCCAAATAAACAAAGCATTTCTTACACGAACACCTAGACCTGAAATTTTGTTGCCTAACTGTCATCTTTCGAAGTACTTTACAATAGAATCTGTTTCTGGTTGATCATTGATTAAATGTAATACAATTTTGATATTTTGTTATCGTTATAACTTAACAAAATTTTGGATAATAATGAACATTCTTTTAGATTTTGAGTAGAAAGTGGTATATTCTGAGAATCTCAACCGAAATAAATATTTTCTGATAAGGAATTTCATGATCTCGTCATTAAAGGTAAAAATATACATTAGATTCACTGTAAAAAGTGTAGAATAAAAAAAACAGGAATATCTACTGACCAGAAATAATACTTACGGAATCCAGGTGGACGCGGTACAGGTTCTCCCGGGCGGCCAGCAGGTTTCCGTACTCGTTCATCTGATCGTCCAAGAGGAGGTAGGCCTGAAGGAGGATATCCAGGAGGCAGGGGTGCAATTTCTCCTGGGCGACCTAATGGAGGTAATCCAGGGGGAGGATATCGCCCAGGACCTTCACCAGCACGACCAGCAAGGGTACCAGGACGGA